ACTTGTTTATAAACTCCTTTGAATAAAAACTTGAGTCTCTAGTAGCCTGAAAAAACTCAAGTATACATTTACTCTACTAAGGCAAGATGGTTTTAAGAAATAAAAGGACTGACAAGTGGAGTGTTACCTTATAAAGCTGGAAGCAACAAGAAATAATGGTTTTTTGATAGGGAAAGGCTTATTATCCATCTTCTCATATACTATCTTATATTCTTTTAAAGTGTCTATTGTTTTTTATAGTTTTCTTGAATGATTTTGCTTATCTCAATTTGATTCTGAATTTTTGATAGCACAATATTACCTAATATCTGATTGGTTAACACGAAGTACATTATTAGCTAAATATAAACAAGCTCCTACTTGTTACTTCATATATTTCAATAATGTTATGGATGATTGAAAGAGTTAATTAATATCACATGTTCACCCTATTTTTTCAATTGGGTTAATTTATAGATTAAGTTCTATAAAATCAATAAGATATGAGCAACAAGTCCCCAGGTGGTGAAAAAGTTGCTATTTGTTCAAACTGAGGTCTTTCTTTTTTATTATCCCAATCAGGTAAAGTTCAAAATCAAGATCTTCTTTTTATTCTAGTCAGGTATTAAGATTGAATAGTCTCTAGTCCATATTAAGCTTCAACCCTTTGGTTATAGTTGAAAATATATTTTCTAGAAGTTATTGAAGGATATCACAATTGACAAGAATTTCTATCACTTTCAAGATTCTCCCACCTTTACAAGGCAAAAGGATTATTGAAGAATTTGACCTTTTGAGTAATAAAAGATATATATTAATAAAATTACTTTAAATAGGCATGGCTACTAGAAGGTATCATATTAAAGCAATATAATTCAGTTTTTACTAGGTCACATAAGATCCTGGAGTTAATAATAGATTCCTAAAGTATTTAGCATATAAAATTTTATAGATTACTTATGTTCTTTTTAGAGGAACAAAATTTATAGCTCTTTACTTTAATAGAAACAAAAGTCAGAAAATATTATAAATCAATGATTTGGATAATGTAAAACAATTATAAGTAATTTTTTAATAATTATTAATTTAAAATCTTAATGTTTTCTGATAAGAGATATTTGACTTTTGTCCTTGTCTCCTTTTTTAAGAATCTATTTTTATCTGGGATCCATCATAAGTCTTCTTTATATTATAGATAGATAAAAAATTATTGCGTAAAGAAGGTTGGGACCAAGTGTATTCTAGAAGTAAAAGTTTCTACTAGGTGATAAGTCTTCTCAGATAGTATATAAAAAGAAAATCAAGATTAAGAATGGATAAGTTCTTCAGATAGTTAGAAAAAGAAAGAATATTCCAATTAGGTAATTTTTATTAAGAAGAGATCTTGAAAAATAAGTTTTTGGAGAAAGCTGGAAATCTTTTTTTCAATTTTCCTTTTCATTTTCTTGTTATTTATTTAAACATTTTTAGATATTCCCATTTTCCTTTTTTTTAATCCATCCTTTTGTGGTTTACTATATTTCAATGGCTTGGTCAGATATATAGTAGTAACAATCTATTAACAATGATATAGTGAATTAGAAGGGTTTTCATTTAAAGACATTGTGAAATGAAATATTGTTTTCAAGATTGAACTTAGAGGCTCTTATATTTGTGACAAGTTAGTTAAATTAGAATAATAGTTTAACTATAGTATGTATTATATTGCTTGAATGAAAATATACTTATGTTTTCAATTGATTAATAAATTAAAAATCTAGCCTGACTATAGGTACTCAAAAAAAAAAAAAAGTAATAATAATTTATAATTTATTTTTAAAAAAATCAATTTTTTAGTTATAAATTTTATTAAAAATATTCTATATAGTTAGTTTTTTAAAGATTTTTTAAATCTTGTTTATTTGAACTTCTTTTTTATTTTCCTTAGGTTTTTCTTAAAATAAAATTCTAATAATATTTTGAACTTGTAATTTAGGATTTTATAAAAGACTTGCTATCATTCTGAAAATATTTTTTTATATTGATATTTTTTAAAAATTTGTAAAAGATTTGATAGTCATATTTTTTATAAAGAAATCTTTGCTATATAGAGTTATTAAAAGTATAGTATGATGATTATTTTTTATGATTTTCTTATATTTTAATTATTAAATTGGGATATTAAATATTTGTTAAGCTATATATGTAGTTTAAATTTTAAATAAAAAAAAAATAAATTAAATTATTTTAAATAAAAAATATTATCAGAAACTTTTTAAATAATATTTTCAAAAATCAATTATTTATATATGTACAATAGTTATATTGTTAATTTTTTTATTGATGTAGATAATAAATTAATATAATTTGATTTTAGATTAAAACAAAATCTCAAATTGAATGAATCATCATGAAAAATAAATTAATTAATGAAAGATTAAATCAAATAGCTTATGTCAATTACCTTTTTTTTTGTCATTATTTAAATATAAAATAATTTGAAAAAAAAAAAAATTTTTTTTTTAAAAAATTATAAATTTTATTATAATCTGAAATTCATTTAATTTGAAAACTATTAAAAATTAACAATAAAAGCATCATTAACTTTTTAACCCAATTTTTAATTATAAAATTTTATACTGTATCTATTTAATAATAATATATATATATTAAAAAAAAAAAAAGAATTAATATATAAAATTGTTGTGTTATGATGAATTATAGTATATATAGTATAAAAACATATTTAAGTGATCAAATTTATAAATATTGGGTTATAATGTGTAAATTTGGTATAATATAAAATCTTCGAATTAAAATAAAAAGGTATAAAATAAAATATCAAATAGTCTTAAGTAAAATTAAATTTTAAGTTTTTATGTTTAAAGTTGAATTTAGTTTAACCAAATTTTTGTAAACTTTAACATATTAAGAAAAATTCCGGGGGGTTTTTTTAAACTACCGTATATACACATGTACTGTAATGCATATGACCGTATAATAAATCTTCAATGTAACAAATCATTTGATAAAAAAATTTGAAAATAATTTTCAAATGATTCAAAATAAACGACTTGACAAAGAAATTTTTAGAACCCGCAACTTTCTTTCCATTTACCTAAAATGGAAATCAATTTCACACAACAACACATACTGTATTTGCGACAGAATGAGTACAAATAAGCGGAGCATAGGACAAATAATATGCGGATCATGACTCACGGTATCCCGGATTTTATGCGGGGTGCCCTCACGGAATCGCAATATTTGAATCTGCTATGATCAAATCGCGACATAAAAGAGTACTGTACATGTAACCAAAACATAAAAAAGGAGAAGAAAACCGATTGTTTAATTAAAATAACGTTATTATGCAAACATGTATAAAAATAGCCGGTTAATCGAAACGCCTGTGAAACACTTATTTTGCGCTAATAAAGGCAATGGCGAAAAGATAACATTAATTGGATTGCCGAGACAAATAAATAGATTGATTACATAACAAAATTAATTTCTTGGGTCAGATCACAAATACACGGGATATCGATCGTTATTTATGATGATTACAAATTGGCACAAATTCACGGTATTTCAATCCACAAAGGTTACGGCGTGTCATAAAAGACAAATTTTCGTAAATAGCGAGAGAAGACAAATGATTGATTGAGGTTGGTTTGACAAGCGCCTTCTTGTAATGAAATCAGGTCTATTGGGGTCCACTATAACGGTACCGAAAAAAAAATTTTTTTTTTTCGATCAGACAATCACTTCAACCACGTGACATTCATTATGACGACGGAATGTTGTGAATCGAGAAATGATCCTTGCACTTTTTTTTTCATTGGTTCTTGATTTGGTTAGACCAGAAATAAATGTTAAAGCACGTTTTAAAGAATCGCATCTCGTTGCATACCGGTTTGGTGGGACAAACGTTAATCACAGAAAGTTCTTAATCATTGTTTATCGAACCATTTTTTTGTTTCAGCGAGGCCAAGACAAAATTTAAAAATAAACAACTTAATGTGAGCAGAAGGTATTGTAGCAGGAGGTATTTACAGTCATAGTGTTATACACTTGTGAGACTAAACTTAAATGTGCCTATTGTAACCCGCCGCCTGGTTCCTTGTCATGATCCCCAGACATGAATTATTCTCGGTTCGATTATTGGGAAAAAAATATTTCAACATTACAGAATATGTAACATAAGTGTGCATCCCATTGTGACATCCCCTCGGTCGGTCATTCATTTGAAAGGGAAAGAAAAAAAAAACCAACAGCAACAGCAACAACAAAGAAGTCGTGGATATGCTTTATTGATTGTGACCCGGAATGTAGATTCAATGAGTCTGACAAGCAATCTGTGAGTTGGAAACACGGGTTGAACGAGAGGACATACATATGGTTGCCAGCGACGCCCCAAATCATAATAAAAATTGGGCGCTACTTTCCTTGGCGACTGAAATGTTAGGGGCATGAATAGTGAAGAATTTCGAAGTTTGTTTCCGTGTTGTCAATGGTAATGTGGTGGATGAATGGAGGATGCCTACAATTGAATCGTAATGTAAGGGCAATATTATTTCGTGAAATTCATTAACTTCGGGTAAATGTGATTGGGGAGAACGTTTTAAAGTAGAATGAATGTGACTATTGAGTTTTGAACGCGTATGCAACTCGATCTCTCACAAGAAAGGTGACTGATTTTTTTCAATTGAATGAATAAAACTTCACGGTCGAAGGAAGGTGTTAGCAGCCAAATGCTATTGGTCAAGTGTGATCTGGTCACGTTTTATTATCGATTATTTTTATTTAAGTGGCGAGTATTAATGAGCCACTAATATGTATTTGAGAACGGCATTTCGGTTAATTATCCGCCACTCTGTGTTATACAAGGTCATGTGTACCACGTAACTAACAACCACGATGCAAGCCATTTCTTCACCATATTCGGATGACCCATTCCATCGTATATTCGAGGAAATTGAGATAAATACCCCTTTGGCCCCAAGTTACATTTTCATTCGAGTTCCAGAGTTCAATAAGAAATGCCAAAGTCAAAACCTCTCAAGTTCCTCAAGAGACAAGATAATTTGCAAGGTGTAGGTGCCACCTCCACACAAGCAACCGAATGTCCAACGCGTGAAGTTACTAACCCGCCACCCAGCCTTGTACTACCTTTTCCGCCACAAGTCAAGGCCGAAGATTTGTTGGATTGTGGGACTCGCCAGCTTCCTTCGAAGCCGCCAAATGCATTCTTCATCTATAGAAAAGTTTACACTAAAGAATTGATCGCTCAAAATCTTAGGTTCAAAATGACAGACGTTTCCCCCTGGGTGTCAATGTCTTGGAAACGCGAGTCCGAGGACGTGAAGATGAAATACAAAGAGATTGCGAAGGAAGTTCGCCAAATTTACAAAAAAGCAAAACAGGATAATATCAATGACATGGAGGGGTTGTCCGCCGAAATCGCTTCTACGCAATTCGGTAATTCATCATTTCCCACTCCGTCTCTCACCGACTCTCAGTCGTCGACTCCAGAACTAAACCAGGACCTCTATCAGTCACCGACTCCAGAACTATCTCAGGACCAGGACCTCTATCAATTTGGATTGTCCTTTCAATCTGACTTACAAGCCGCTCTCAATGGGCGAGATCTCGACTTTTTTGACTGTTCGTCGATGGAACATTTCCAAATCACCAATCCCCTCGGTCTCATTTCCTTCCAGCCACAGGACGTCCCCTCTACCTTTTGGCAAGGGAATGACAATTGCAACGGAGGTCCATCCACTGGCATGACCGAAATCTCTGATGACCTAATTCAACATCCTGACTACGCTGGACTCGCGCACCAAAATTTAGATAATTATTTTCAATTCGCCGACTCTCAGCAATTTGACATCGAACAAATCTGGAACTTCCAAGAGAACCTGGATTTCTTGTTTGATGACATGAATCAACCATCCCAGTGGTCAACAGGCGTAGATCAATGAAGTTTAAAAAAAAAACCCCCAATCAAATCCTATTGTCATGTATGAAATTCTTAAATTATGCAAATACTACGGTACAAGAATAATTAACAGTATAAGTGTAACAATTTTGATATTCAGATGGTGCATTCGATTGGCACTGGGTAAAAAAAAAAAAAAAGAATTAAAAAAATTAAAAAAAATCAAAAAAAAAAAAAAAAAAATTTTAAAAGTAGATCACGCAGTATACGTATATACTGTAAATACCCTGTAGAGAAATAAAAAGTATACAAGACTATATACTGTATATGTACCTAAAATTATCGTGTGAAAACATTATGAAGATAACGTAAGAACCTATGTGAGATCATGTGATCTGTTATGAAATCCATTCGAATAAAATAAGTTATATAACCGAATTCTGGAATGTTTTCGTGACCGAACTTACCTCATGCATCACCGTTTTCTCCGTTGACTTTCGCATTAACGAATAATTTTAAAATCAAAGGACGTACTGCGCGGAACAAGGTATCCGTACGTTGCGATGTAATTGCGTCACACGTACTTTGTCGTACGCAGTCGATGCTGAACATGGAAACCGTCGAAAAATTGACCTTCAACTTGCATCTCGTCAATGGGGTTCACGTGATGATCGTCACAATTACATATTCGGAGGCACAAAATTTGTATCACGTCACGAATTATTGGGGCTAGCGCGGTGGACGAAAAAGTTCTTTTAATAAAAAAACGGGCATCCTTTTTCGCAGTTGGAATTCCGCAAAACAACCAACAAAATATTTTGACCCAATTTTAGATTTTAACTTGTTGCACAAGCAGGATAGCCACATCGAAGAAGTGTTAACACAAATACTGAATTTTCAGCCAAGATCATTCCATTAGTTCACGGAATTACGCTCACGAGTATTGTTCACTCATCTTATCTTGTGATTGTGACCTATTTTTAGTTTTACGGTTGGGCAAATTGTATCATGTGTTCACCTATCGGATTATTGATAAAGATAATTTCGTGGTTAAAAAAAAAAAAGGATGCAATTCGCCAGTCGTTGTAAATTGTGCACATTAGATCATTCGTTAAAAAGATGATACGCCTTTTTCCTTGGCTCGTTTGTATGAAGGAAAAAAAAATTTTTTTTAAACTCTAGGAAATAAGAATTATCCTTGTCAATAGTGATGATGATGATAGTGATGGCAATAGTAATAAATGAATAAATAAATAAATAAAATAAAATAAAATAAATAAATAAATAAATAAATAAAATAAAATAAGTAAAAATGCGTAAAGTTATCGAAAACCGTGCACGAAATGAATCCAATCTCGCGAATGATGATATCGATTTGATCACATGTGGCAAGGCACAGAGAGAAATGCCAGTGGTCCCTAATTTCACTTCTTTCTTTTTTTTTGGATGCTAAATTTTCGGCAAATTCTTTGGGGTTACCACTTGGTTTCTCTCGTCACCCGATCTTGTTGTAACATTTCGATGTGCGTTAGATAAATTATACCGAACACCGAAATACATAATAATCGCACGCCAAACACGTCCATTCGCAAGAAAGTGCGCATAAAGGATGCCAAGCGATCCCTGGAGCAAAGAGTGCGTGCCACACAAATGGGAGCTTATCTATATATTTCCTTATGGCCCTTTTAAATTTTTTACAATTTTCTGGGTGTTACACACATCACCTGACGTTAATTATGTTACATCTCCTTAAATGGTAATCGGGAACGGTTGTTTATTAACCGAAATTCGAGGTTTTGAGGAGATGCGTGCGTGCGGGTCGATAATCACGAGCACACCTTGCTCCCGAAAGAGTCGTCTCGGAAAGAAAGGGCGATGATAGGCGGCCGACCGAAGTGGCATGTTCGTCATTGGCATTGCTCACAAGGAAAGATGAAGCAAAAGACTTCTTAACTTTCTCCCCCGTAATGTCGAAGATCGGATTGCACAATTTCATAATTAAGAATTTATGCCAACAATTTTTTTTTAAAAAAACAATAGCGATAATAATAAAAGTAGTAATGACAAGAAAGTAAATATTACAAGGTTCGACATTTTAAACATAAGTGTTCTTGAATTACTACCAAAGCTTATGAGGGCGAATGTGGTTTTCCTTAATTTAGAAAATCAAATTTGATTTACAAATTTCCGATTAAATCACAGGATTTGGTAAACGAGAAGAATTTAAAAAATCATGCTAATAAAATCAACCATTTGATGTTGTTAAACAGGACCAACTAATGTATATACAGTATACAGTATTTACCGTATATATCTTAAAGCATATACTGTATCCTATAAAATTATTCATCATACACGCATATAATGTACAGTTTATAATTTTCTTTTCGAGAGAAGTTAATGTGAAAAAAAAAAAAAAAAAAAAACTCAAAATTCATCTAATATCACAATCTATTTGATAGTTTTGGATGTTTACGTTTTACCAATTGGCCACCGGGTTGACAGCCTGCTCGTTCGTTTATTAGGTTAAGAATGAATTAGACAAAAGTTTCGTAAAATCATAATTTTGTTAATCATGTTTGAAGCTTAGGTGGGCGGGGAAGGGAAACGACAAAAGTTCAATTGTATGGTTTTCTCGCGGATTGTTGTGTAGAACACTTCTTTTCTCCAATAGAGTCTCATCACCTCTTGTTTTTATACTCGATGCAATTCCAACAATCTAGGGGGTCAATAGGACGACCACACACATCGCTCTAGTGGCGACATTTTTCCCAACCTCTGTCTTATTAAGGTGTTCCCGAATGGGACTTTCACGACGAGTGATGTGCGAAGATCGGAAGGTGATCAGAATACAAAATTTTGCGTCGATAAACGATTTGACAAGCTGGACAAGTGATAATAAAGACCACGACCACGTAGTCTAACTGGTGTCGAATACGTGAAGGGCGGGGATGGTAAATACTTTTGGAGAGGTGGGATTACAAGTGATTCGATACTTGATACTTCTTTTGTAGGAAGGAAGTAGTCCCAATTTGGATGCAAGTGATTTGATACTTTTGTAGGAAGGAGGGAAGTGCATGGTCGAATTTTGTCACGTGAAAAGGATGGTGGTAACCTACTTCCAATGATCGCCGAATAACAAATGCACAGTACTGTGCAGTAATATGCCGTATATAATGTGCATACTGTATATGCGTATATAGTATACTGTATGTGTATATATCACGGATTCAATTCAACTAGGTTACATGGTCGGGGTCTCTATCACTACTCGCCAGCTTGTAAAGCCTTTTACTGGCGCCGAATTTCGCACTTCGAGAACCTATTCGGGGAGCAGGAAAGATCCATTCAAATTGAGGCATAATCGTGGGTGCATATTAAAATTCTTGGAGTTGTTCATGAGGGATTCGATGCCGAATGCTTGATCCCATCCGCCCAGATGGTGATATTTTATACCTTCACCGATATAGGACATGAAACCCCTAGCAAGCGGACCTGCGTGTGTATTAATTGATAGTATGCAACGTTCGTACGTTCCTGAATTTTTCTTTTTCTTCATATTTTATTTTATTTTTATTTTTTTTTGTTCACATTGTCGTATCAATTAACATCAACATCAGGGAACGTTACTCCGACCATTCTCTTCCGGTTTGATCTACGTGAGACATGTACAGTATTTGTCTGTGATCCTGTGGAAAGGTTTTTTTTTTTTCGGTATTTTTCTTGTGAATTCTGATCTTGAAACATCCAAGTGCCAACTTACTTAACTCTCTATTCGTGTTATGGTGTACACACACGATGATTTAAAGTTTGGCGATAAGAGCATCATTATTGTTAACACAAATTCAATTTTGCATTATGCACCTAATCAAAAAGGGTATCCGCTTCCGTGAATAGAAAGGATCAATTCCTTCCTACAATCAAAACAACGAAACCTTTAACACACGTCATTTTCGAAATCACACGTCATACATGTGCTATGTGACTCCGCAATTTCGATAAAACTTTGAAACTCCTGATCACGTATTGCATCATTTCTTTAATTCCTTCTTTCCAACTAAGACTTTTTTTGGTTAGAATCGGTAGGCAACCCTATATTTAGATATAATTATATGATGGCAGGTCCATTGTTGAATACCTTTTTTGTGGTTATTGAACATTGTCAAACCTCTTTTTGTAAAATCTTTTTTTGATTTTAAGGTTTAATCGGATGTTTTAGGAAATTTCTTGACGCGATACCTGAAATCGGAAATCGTGATCTACCTGCGCTCCTTTTTGTGCGTGAAGGGAAGGAACGTCGACATACCCCGGGTCCACGCTAACGATGACTTGTGGCGTGGAAGAGTGTTGAGATGATGTGTGCTATGGTACGAACAAAGGGACCATCAACGTGCATGACCGGAATAAGGAAGGAGATGACAATTTATTGGTGATTCCCTCCCTCTTTTTTTTGTTCAAACGTTAAAACCACCTTTCTCCTTATTCGTAAAAGAGGATTCCTTGTAATAATAATATCTGTGCCACCTAAAGCATCTTTTCTTGTGGCAGGACAAGATATTTTGATGGCCTTCCTTTGTTGCTATTTTTATCTTTCCTTGTTGGTGAAACATCGATCACACATTATGATCACATGGGAATCGCACTTCCGCATACTTTCACCCGAACATTATTTTTAATCGAGTGCATGATGTCAGGAAAAAAAGAAAAACACTTTTTCATAATGGCAAAATCAAACGCGCATTTCATAAGAAAAAAGAAGACCTTTGTTTTTTCTTGTTGCCACAGGGCTTCTTATCGTAAGACTGTTTTATCGGCATGCACAAATAAATTAATTCCCTTCATGATGCAAAAAAGCTTTGTATTCCGGGGTCAAAATCACAAATTTTATTCAAACAAGTTCCTTGGCCTTTTTTTTTTTTTTTTTTCTTTCTATCTGGTTTGAAGGTGACTCAATGATCCTTGAAGGATGAGGTTATATAAATCGCCTTTGAGCTCCATCTTCTCCTTCCTCACCCCCGGGGTTTTTTTGTGTAAATACTTATCGCACGAAGTGTGAACCTGATTCCCAAGAAAGGCTCTAAAAATTCACATATACTAAAACTTGTTACCCTTCCTGTTTCCCCATACCAATTTCGTCAGATATCGTCAGCACACATCAATTTACGCCTTGACACTTTTTTTAAATAAAATAAATAAAATAGTAATCCCATAATAAAGAAAAACACAATATACAATTCAATTCCACCTTTCATAAAGAAACGAACGTTAAAAATCTCACCTCAACATCCATTTAAGCTTAAGATTACTATCGTCATTTTCATTCTCACTGTCACATCACCGTTATTACTATTTTATTGTAAGCAACGACAATGATGCCATTCATAAATTCGGATGTCACCCTTGAAATCTTTAAAAATCTCATTGAGACCAACGAATTAGGTGAATATTCGATCGCCGGATTAAGGAACATTTACTCGTGTGTCTTCGTGTGCCGTCAGTGGTGTGAGATAGCCGTACCCATACTCTGGAGTCAACCTTTTCATTTTCTTGGATCGGAATCGGACGAAGAATCAGACTCCGTGCCTTACGATAAAATTCTCGGGGTGTATCTCAGGTTCCTCAATGATCATGAGAGGGAGGACCTTCTGGCGAAAGGAATCGACATCTCCTTGGTCACCACTCAACACCAACAAAACCTATACTGTGTTGAGGATGATCTGAGAAGATCGGACCTGAACGACGACGACAACTCAATCATTCATATGGGAGAGCCGAAATTTCCATATATAACATACCTGAGATCGCTATCGTACATAACATTGTGTTCGGCCGTAGAAATTTGGTGTCAAGACTTGGCGGACATAATGTCTCGGGTGAACGGGGAAGAGCTGGTCGATAACGCGGAAGAGATATTACTGCGCGCAATCTTAAAACTCTTTTATGACAGGGGGGCGAAATTAATGAGCCTCAATATTACCATAAATGACTTTTTAGATGGGAGAACCATAAACCTACGTCGTCTGCTAGTTGACGAGGAATTGAAAGGTTTCTTTGCCCCCATAAGATCCTTGGAGTTCAACGTGATGTACACGTCCATAAACGATTTTTTATCCACGCTGTCGGAAACCTGTCATCAGCTGGTAAAGTGTTTATTTAAGGAAAAGTGTGCGCTCGTTACACCAGAATATTCTTCTCACATTCCAATTCTCACCTCTTAGAACCATATCTCCGTGCACACCCTGTGGACACGTCGCTGCGACGCTCCCGTGGTCAAGGCATTTGAAAGATCCTTTAACGCCCTGATTTCCGCACAAACGTCGTTGACCTCCTTTCACCTTACCGAGTGTAAGGGTTACACGCATGTATTCTTTCCCGCACTCTATTCGTGTGTCTCCACTTTGCGGCACCTAACCTTTGAATGCGTGGACTTTGAGCACTGTCAACCGTGGAACATGATCGCCGATTGTCGCAACATAATGTCCCTCGGCTTAATCCAATGCAACAACGTTACCACCGAAATGATCCAACCCGTGATCAAATCCAAGTATCCGAAAGGATTCGAGGTTCTTTACCTTGGCGATGGACTTTGCAAGGAGTTTACCGATTGGATGGAGAGCATCAATAGTAAAGCAACCAACCACAATTGATGATAACAACAATGGTGATGGGGTCGTTCGTAGATTGACGTGGTCGGTGACGGATGATGTTTTCGGGGGAGGAGGGTTGCGGTCATGGATTTTTGGAGGGGATGTTTAAACACGGACATTGTCACAATAGGCGTTCAAAATAGTTATATGAAACTTTTTTTTTTCTTATGTTTGGATAACTCAAGGGACGATATATCTTTCTGAACAATTATCACTCTTTCTTTGCAAATATTCATTATAACAACAAGAACTTTTTTTATAAAGATTTTTTCATATACCAAATTTAAATTATATGCATATGTTCAAGATTAATTAATTATAGATACTGTAAGTATGTTCTTTTTCTAAAAAAAAAAAAAAAAAAAAAAGATGCATATGCCTTTCTACCTTTTCTTTTTTTTTTCATAACTTAAATAGGGTTTATCTATTGCTTCATTTGTTTTCACGATTTTGAGAATTGAGGAATAAATGAACAATCCTTTGCCAATTTTTTTAAATCAAAAAAAAAAAAAAAAAAAAATCGCGCGGAAACCATATCATGTGATATCAACAATGCCGGCCTAAGGTGAAATAATGAGCGGGGTTCCGGGGATTGAGTCAAATGACGACTATTTATACACACTGCCTGAGAAATATTAACAATTTGATTTGTTGCAAACAAGACGTGGGGCTTGTTTAAACGACCAGGAGATGGAAACCATTGAAATATCCGAGGACCCTAAAATTATAATAACTTTAGTGTATTGGTTAAAATTATTCATTTGATTATTTCATCTTATTTTTAAAGTAACATTTTTTGAAAAATTGTAATATTAATAAAATTAATCAAATAGATTGTTTTAAAAATTTCTTCTCAAAAATTTTTAAAATAAAGTTATGACCTTTTTTAATAAGCCAATTATTTATTTTAAAAATAAATAAAATCAATAAATACATATCTATAGATAATGATATTAATAATTAAAAGGATTTTTATCTGAACTATTAATAGAACAATAAATTATTTTCAAAATTGTACTTAGAATAAAAAATATTAAGACAAGTAAGTTAAAAAATTAGCTTTAATAATATATATTATATTATATATAGCTTATAAAAGTTTAATAAAAAATCTATAATTAACTTAATTTATCTTTTTTTTAAATACACAATTTTATTTATTTACTGATTATATATATTATATATACTGTCATTTATAAAACAATTTTATAGACTATTTCTATACTTATGGAAATAATAAAATCAATTGATATTACATCTATTGTGACTTATTATTTCTTTATAGATATTAATATATTTAAGCTTCATTAGCATGTATTAATATAATGTCATATATATTTATCCAATCTTAAATAATTTTTTTCATGGTATCTATGAAGAATTTTGAATTGTATATATCAGGTTTTATTTGAATTAAAGATATTTACTTTTTTTATTTTCTTTACTTTATATATAATATTTTATATCTTTTTTAAAAATTATAGTTAGAAGTATCTGTCTATTAATATATTATAAATAATGAATCAAATATTGTTAACAATACTTCAAATAGTTTAAATATCTTGCCTTAAATTACAAATTAACCAATTATGCTTATGATTTTTCAATTGATGACTTCTTTTATAACAAGGTTCTATAAATTGTATATATATATATTTTTTATAATTTTTTTTATTGTATATAGACTTCTTTTTTTATTCTTATAATGATTTTATAATAAAATATAGATAATATTATATTGTTAATTTCTATACTAATTGTGACAATAAGAAGATTATAGTAAATTGTTTATCTGAATTTGTATTAGTAATTATCTATATTTTTGACATTGTGTTTTATATTATTATTGTATACTGCTATATATATATTGATTTTTACTGCAAATGTTTTTTATTGTTTGTCTAATATATATTTTTATAAAAATCTGATATTATTTTTTAATAAACATAAGTATTTGGATTTTATTTTTTTAACTATTCACTTTTTATATATATAATTTAGATATTGTAATCAATTTTAAAACCTACCGTATAAAATCCAAAATGAATATATTTATTGTGTACTATATTAAATAAAAGTTTATCTATAATATATCTATATTACTTGCTAATATATTACTATAAGGTTGTAGAGAAATAAACTATATGTAGTTTTTGTCATGTGAATTGTGATATTTACAATGTATAATGTTAATTTTATTTGTTTTGAAAAATAGATTATTATTAAAGTTTTTTCTTATAATAAAATACTAGTTTTCTTGATTATGTCATTTAATCGACTTGATAATTTGTTTTTATAATTTGTTTTTAAGGCTATCTACTATATGTTTGTCAAAAAATAGGTTTCTATAATTCTGCAGTATATTTTATTTGAGAATATTAGATTAATATATATAGTTCTATATTAACATTTTTGAATTTGTACTACTTGATTTAATAGTGGTTTTTTGATTGTAATACTAATTCTAGCTTTTAATTGTTTGTCTTCTATTTAGTATGTAAAGTATTTTAATATTTTCTATTATATAGTATTTATATTTATTTCATTTGTTTCAATAAATATAATAATATCTCAATTGTTAATCTGTCATATTGTGAATTAGATTTTTTTGAATGGTTTTTTATTGAGACCCTTTCAATTAAATATAGTTATTGTTCAGTATAATCTATCATTATTTATACTATGTGTATTATCAGATTATATTTTTAATATTGCCAACCTATTCAATTCATCCCTTAGGAATTAGATAAAAAGAATTGATATAGAAAAACACAAAGTTGAACTTTTAATGTGATATGCAAAAGTTTTTAATTTGAATAATAATAAATATAGAGATTTATTACAAGTAATTTAAGTAGAAAAGGCAGGATAATAGTTTTAGATTAAAAATAATTTTATTATTGAATAAATCTTGAGAAGTCTTTAGAAAAAAAATTTCTTTTTTTAAATTTATAATTAAGTTATATGATATTTAGAAATGTGAAAAGAAATAATAATAATAATTTATACTATTAGTTTTACTAGAAATTAAGCTATATTCTCTTAAACAAAACTTAAGTATTCTTCAAAAATAATTATTATATATGATAAGATAAAACTATAAAATATTTTAGAGTACTTTATACTAAGTTTGCTAATAACAAAATAAATTATCAATGTTCTAAAAGTTTTCTTGAAGATCTTTACTTTCAAGTGACCAGAAAGATCATGACATATTAATCTGAGGTACTGGAATTATTTTGGATACTAAGAAGATTATATAGCAAAATTTTATAGATCAATAATATATTATATGGTTGTTATGTATTTGTAGTTTTGTTTGTGTCTTTTTGAAGTAAATTAATTGTTATTATATATTCTATTGATAATATTAAACTTTGTTCAAAAGTGTTATAGTTTGTATATATCTCATATTTTGATTTTGAGTTTAATATTTTTGGAATATAGTTATTCTATTGATAAATTTTAGGAAAATTTTACTTATTATAGTATCTATATTATTGTTTGATAATATGAGTTATTGCAGTATAAGCAAGGATAAGGCTTGTGATTGTGAACATAAAGGCTATATTCATATTATTAATAAAATTATATAGTTGTCTCTATTATTGTTAAATGTCATTGATACTAATATTATTGAAGAGAATAAGTTTGTTGTTGCTTTTAATTCTTTTTCATATCATTTATATTGATAAAGCAATATTGTTCAAGATTTTTAATTCTTTTAATTAAGTTACTAAGAATTTTTTTAATTGTTCTAAGTTTGTTTTGAATAATTTTTTTTTTTTTTTTTTTTAACCCACAATCATGCCACAATGACATGTCTTTATTGAAAAATTGAAATAAATTTACAATATTTTACAGACTTTCACAAAGTAACTAACTCATCTTCATACAAAAGTACTCTAAGTCAGATTTTAGGAACAATATTTCATTCCCTTAATAGATTGGTAATAACCTCTATTTATTAGGATCATTGCCAATAGTTTGTCACTATAGATTGCCCGAAAACCAATGAATTGCTAAGTTAAAAAAGGGAAAGGTGAAAAAAGAATTGAGGAAAGGAGACAATTCAAGGTCCATCAAAAAAAATCCAAAAATAAAAACAATCTCTTCTCAAAAGGGATCTGTCTGATTGGGATAGTCTTCTTGCTTTACTTGAACCTCGAAAGAAATCTTTTTTTTCACCACCTGTGGCATCGAACGAGTCAATCCAACTGATCTTTCATTTAAGTGAGCATCAGATTGGGATATCTCAAGGAAAGTATTTAGACCTCAGCTTTTTTTCATTAAAGCTTTGTCACCACTTGAGGAACTTAGGTAAGAGATAGGAGTTTGCAATCCACATTACCTATCGCTTGATCTTTTGGTGTCATAGAAGTTTTCATTGAGGGACTTGAACTTTTTTAAGGGCAAATGTTTCCAGAACCTTCTTTCCAATTACCAATGATATCATCGGAACACGTGAATATGACCAATAGGAGCTTGTTTACATTCCAAAAACTAACATGTTTTGTGTCAGCCAATTACCTTTGGTAAGGATTTGTGCTATCAAAAATTCAAGGTCAAACTAAGGTAGGCAAAATTCCCCAGAAAACCATGAAAGTGATAGCTCTAAGAGGCCCACAAGTGACTAAAAGGGGAAAAATAAGTCCTTCTGTTATCAAAAACCTCTATATACCTTTCGCTTCAAAGATTAAATAGGCCTTCAGGTACTTCACAGTCAGTTCTTCTTCCTTTGGGAACTTTCTTGCCATTGGTATCAAAGGTATTGCTTGACTTTTCTTGGTTACTAGGAGTCAAGTTTTTGAGTGAAGAGGTTTGTAAACAATAGGGGAAGGGTAGAAGTGACTCTTGAAGTTATACTTCAAGTTGTTTTAAGGAAAGTATTAAGACTTTATTAGCAAGAAAATATAAAAACTTCTTGTAAACATTTTTTTTGTGTGTGGTCAGAAAATCAGCGGAAAGAGTTTCTTTATACATTTTTGGATATTGTCCTTCAATAGTTTTCAAATGTTTTCTATAGGGTTAAGATTAGTAAATAAAGCTGGTCAAACCATTGGTTTAATTTTTTCTTTCATGAACCAATTTGCAATACTCTTTGTTGTG